CCCCCACCAAGCACCCAACTTCTTCCAAATTGCGCTCCCCACATTCCTCCAAAAACCATCAAATATTCTTTTGTTTGTATTGTCAAGTCTTATGTTTGGGGTTTTTTTTTAAAGATTTATTTTTATTATTTATTTATACAAGCACTGGGTACAGTCAAAAGCACGGGAGGGTGAGAGAATTCACCAGAGCCAGAGCAGAGAGTAGAACAGGCAGACTGACAAAGTACACTGCTGAGGGGAGCAGCGGGCGCGGCAGGAGAGGTCTGTCACACCACGTGGGACCCTCGCCGGTGGCTGGGGATCGAACCGGCGCTGCAGAGGCTGTGGGCAGCTTCGCAGCCCAGCGCTCAACCACTGCGCCACCGGGGAGGCCCAAGTCATATGTTGTTAACTGTTGTTTTTACATTTGAACGTTCAGGGAAAACTTTATTTGAACATAAAGGAAAGTTCCCTAAAATCTGATAGTATGTAAAAGAACACACGAATACTCTTTCTATCATAGAAACTTCAACAATTGTTGGATGTGGTTGGAAAAGAAGAATTTGAGGAACTTGATTGGTCGATGGAGGCTAAGAGTAGACAATTTAGGATGGAGATATCACAAGACTAGAAACTGGAGATAGGGGTAGAAGGGATGAACATAGTTGTTATACCGAAGTAGAAATAAAATCCTTAGGTACCAATTGCTATAGCAAGTATCAGACAGCTAGAGAAAGTATCCGGAGGTGCAGGCCAGAGGTGGGAATATGGAGATGGCAGGCCATCATAGAGAATCACTATTCTTTACAAAATTAACCTAACACACACCCCTGAAATTTAGTAATTTAACAATAGATAACAGTCCCACAGAGGAATGAACCCCTCCCCTCCCCCCCAAGAACATTCTATCCATATTACACTTTCTACAACTGGCAAATCCTAGCTCCCCTGCCTGCCTGTGACTAAGTAGGTGCCTCTCTTTTTCTTTTTCCTAACAAACCTGTCCTTTTTAAAGGTAACCTTCCCCTGCCTGTGCCTGTGCAAATCTCACCTTCTGGGTAAACTCACTGTGTGCCTCTGCCGAAACGTTTCTCAGAGGTCAGCCAAGCACCCCACTGACGAAACCCCACATCTCTTCAAAATGACATCAGGTCCTTTAGGTAACTCAGTGGCCACCATGAAATTTGATGACCATGTAAAATATGGCACTACACATGTCACATGACTTACCTTGCTCGACATTTCCTCTTGCCGCTGAGAGTGGGGTGTGGCCGGCTGCAGCACTGCCCAAAAACCTATGTAACATGTTTGCTTCAGGGATCTATGCTCTTTACGTGTTTTTCAAAAATGTAGGTGAAGTGTGGGATGTACAATGTATGACTTCATGGCTATTGCTCCGAATAGCATATAACAAACCACAGACCAAAGCGACTTTCCCTAACATGTTTTCTGTCTTGATGAAATGCCCCTTGGTTATTTTTTTTACATTGGTGTTCACTGGCTTTTGTTTTTTGTTTTTGTTTTTTTTTTTTTTTTAATCTCTGTGACAGCTGATATTCAGTGAGTAAAATGAAATTCTTTGGAGTCGTTCATTAAAGAAAGCTTATATTTGGAACTAATTACAAAGAGTATTTGCAAAAGACCTGAAAAATCTGAACAGAGTGGGGATGGAGTCAGGGGTTAGAAAAAGCAGAAGTCGCCCACCATTACTGCTGGTCAAGAGACTCCAGGAAGAGGAGGTGGTACTCGGCACAGGGACTAGGGGCTTCCAGTGAGGGATGGAACCAAAAAGAAGGTACATTCATTGCTGAAGACTGCCTGAATCAGGAAGAAAAGAAAAACTATCCTAGATTCCTCCCTCATCTGAACCTCCAATCTTGTGTAATGTCTTCTACTGGCTGCTCCAGATGCCAGGAGACCAGGGTTCTGAGAAATGTAGCACACAGGACTGGATCTGAGAAAACAAGCCAATGACTACAGGAGGGAAACTACAGTGATTTTAAACAATGCTCACGCATTATTTGGCACTCCCGCTACTGAAGTCAGAGTCTAATTCTCCTCTCTTGAAAATGGTTGGCTTTTGTGACTGACTTCTAAGGAACAGAATGTAGTCAGATGAGACCAACTGCATGAATTCATATAAAGGACACAGCTTCACCCTGTTCTTCTCTCTCTCCCTTCCTTGCCCACCCCCCCAACCCCATCTCTGTTCATCCTCGGTACCACAGTTCTTTAAGGTATAATGCAACAGAGGGAATTTATATAGGGAAATAATTGAACACAGTCCTTTGTAACAGATATGCAAGATTCAACAGTCAGCCATGCGGCGGTCTAGGAATCAGCAATAGCCAAGCAAAGGTGAGGAAAGGATCCATGAATGCGTGCTGGTCACAGCCCCAGTGAAGATCCAGCTGACACATGGTAATGAGGGCCAAATAAGTAAGAGATTGAACCTTTAGAAATTCTAGCTCCAGCCTTCCAGGCATGACTGCTGATGCATGTGGAACAGACAAACTACCCTACCCTCGAGTCCTGTCCAAATTGCCAATTAAGCAAAATTAATTTTGCCATTGTTTAAGCCACTGAATGCTGTGGTGAGTTGTACAGCAATAGATAATCCAATAGAACCCAAGAACAAACAAGTCAATGACTCAAACAACTTCATTCTTATTTTCTCATTCTGTTTCAGTTAGCATTTGAAGGTCCCAGAGTCAATCACACTCCAATTTTATAGCCATTTTAGATATTTATTGGGCAGTGTTACTGGTAGTAAACACAATTTTTCAACTCATTAATTCTGATTATACTTCCAAAGAATGAACAATTGTCCATGGAGCTATGATTTATTCCTCCATTTAGAAGCATTTCCATATGAAGGTTTGATGGAATTGGGTTTCCTTATATGAAATACTCATTAATTTACTTATATTATTCACTATCAATCTGAAATAAAGGTCTATTCATTGACTGAAATACTTAAGCTTATCTATATGAATACTCTTGTGCATAGGAGATTAATTTGATAATTGCTTGGAGCATTTATTTTGTATGTTGCCCTTTTTATAGACATTGGAAAAGGTAGAGAGAAAGTAGATAATAAGAATGAGAGGAACTAGGGAACAGAATGGAAAATGAGGGGGAAAGCAGAAGGTGAAGGTGAAGGAGAAAGAAGCATTGTACTTAAGAAGAAGAATGCCAAGACAGATCTACTTTCACGAGGATTCTGGTTCAATGGCCTTTCGCACAATGGAAATGTTTTGTCAGTGGAAGAGAAAATAAACATCATGTGTACATTTTCCAATGTTTTTTGAAGCAAATAAATTCAGGGTTGTTTGCTGGAAAATACACCAGCAGGGGACCAGACTGTGCCACTAACAAACCATGTGACAGGGCACTTACAGTCTTAGAGATTAATTTCTTCACACATAAAAAATGCAGGGATGAGACCAGAATTTAACAGCATGGGCCACATTTAATTAACACTAGGCTAAGCTGTGCTTTAGTAACGAATGAAAGATGAAGTCTCAGTAGCTTGAAAGATCCAAAATTTTTATTTTGCTCACATAAAATCTAATGTGATTATTCCTGGGCTGGACTCTCCTAGTCAGCTCCTTCCCTTAGTGAAAAAGGGTCCACCACCTCCCCTCCTGAGCCATAGTAGGTTGTAGCACGAGGAGAAGCAGGTGAGCACATCTAACACTTTGTCCACAGGTCCCAAAGTGATTCACATCACTTCTGCTCATATACCCTTAGCAGAACTAGTCACATGATACAACTGCAAAGGAGTCTGGGAAATGGAAAAGTACATGAGCGAACATTGGTGAACTCCATCAGTCTCTCCCACACATGACTACATATGTTGCGATTTCCTTGCACACCCCTCTCTTGCCGTATGTACAATTCTCAGATGTTCTCTTGGGTGTCTGAACTGCAGTTTGTGGGGTGTGTGGGAAATCATATGGCCTCAGGTGCACAAGGTATGAGAGTTTCTGCTGTATTGGTTAATCTGGCACAGCTTTGTCTAGACTTAACCAAAATGTGGTCCCCACTGGGATATTCTGGTTTACAAATCTAAGATGGAATTTAATCAGAGAAATGGAAAGTTTTTACAAACTTTTATGGCAATTTGAAAGAGAAATTTTACATCTGTTGAATTTAATAAAAACCAAATCATGGTTTATATTTTGATTTCCTTGGCTTTATTTTTTTTTTTCAATTTCATTCTTCGGGTAATTTATCTTTATGTATTTTACGAAAGTATCAGTCTGTGACAGATTGAAAATAATAAAAACTGGTTCTTCACCACTGAGAGTTTGATAAACACTGGCTATTCTACCCTGACTAATATACCAAAGCAAAAATAGGAACATCTAGAAGTATACCAAGATATATTGAGAAGGACTAGACACCAGCTACATTTCTCCGAAGGAAGGAACCCGGTAGGCCCTTCGCAAGTTAGATGCTTCCTACAGAGAGTAGGAAATTGTCTGAGCTACACTATTTTTAATCCTGAAATAACTGTGGACCCAGCATTTTCTTAAATTCTATTTTCTACTGTAAAGTAATACAGTGAGATAGAAAACAAGGCCAGTCAAAGAGAAAGCAAATAAAATGTCCACATGCCATTTCAGCACTTGGCTTGTAGTGGTAGGAGATGGTCACATATTCCTGAGAGCACATTTCTCAATTAAGATAGTCAAACTTCTCTTTCCTCCCCTCCCCCTACCCCCAGGAAGCACCTCTCATCATCTGAATACAACAAGGACGGCAATGATTCTCTCCTGTTCATTTCCATTGTTGAACACTTCTTATATAAGAGAATTTCAACACTGAAATTTGACAAGGTTACAAGTTGTTGATTCTCAAGTTTCCTTATGATCAGACAGTAAACACTAAAAACCCCTGAGGCTTTAGCTGCCCATCCTCACTTATCCTTACAGAGATGCAGCTATAACGCTGTGGGATCTTGTGAACATTTAAAATGCCCATCTTCACCTACCTTCAAGGATGAGGACCAGTGATCCATTAAGGAGGAGGCTTGTGCTGTTCCGGACTGGTGGTCAGCTCGACATCACCACTGCCAGTCATTCCTAGGGCTGGCAATTGTGTTTCTCGGTACCAACTTCCCTCTGGGGACCCAGGTTAGAATTTGCCAATGAAAGGGACTCTTAGGAACGCTGGAAGATACAAACAAAATACAAATTGTTATTGTTCAATATGTCATGAAAATCAGAAGCGCAGGTGTCCAGTTCCAGGCCTCTGGGCCAACACCCACTTTGGGGTAGTTGAAATTGCTTGAATGTCCCCAGGATTGGCAGCTTCTTCATCCATGCCAAGGCTTCACACTGATATGACAGCGACAGTGTCCCTGACACTTTAGCTACATTCTCACAGACCTTCACTCTCCTATTTCCCATAATACCCCAGTTGCTTTCCTTAATTCTAATAGTGACTTTGTTTTATTCCTAAATCAGACTGATAAAGGTTTTCCCAAGACTTGCAAGCAATATCTATTGCTATAGCTATACTGCTCAAAAAATATACGTCAACCTAAAGGATTTTGGCAAAAGTTGTTACAAAAAAACACATTTTGAACAGGGTGTCACTAATTATTAAGATACCACAAATGTGTTCATATTCTAGCCATAGTTATCACAATAGATGGAAATACCAGTGGGGCCTGCTGGAAAGCATCCTAACACCCCTCTCCCAATGGGAGCGTCTTCAGATCATGATCCTCTGACAACAGGTGACACAGTACAGAAATAAATACAATATAGCTGATGTGTGACAATTCTGACCCGAGAGACAGTAATGACTAATGATCTAACCTCAGGCTTTGATAATCTCTTCATGCTAACATATCATCAGTGGGACGCATACCATTTTTCCCCCTCTAGGAATGGGGTTTCTCTTCACACCATCTATATTCTATAAACAGAGAATATTTGCGGAGGGTAAGTATGAAATGATAACTTCCTGAATCTGGATGAGAAGTCTATGTATTTTAAATCAAAGAAGTTGATTTCACTTTTGAAATGTATGTTAAGAATTGATCATGGGGCCTTCCTGGTGGCGCAGGGGGTTATGCACCACACTATGGAGCACATCCACAGTCTCTGCAGCACGAGTTCGATCCCCGACCGGCCACGGAGCAATGCACATAGCGAAGCAGACCTCCCCTGACTCACCTTCTGCTCCCCTCAGCACTGTATTTCAGTCAGTCTGCCTGTTCTGTTCCCCACTCTGTCTCTGGTGAGTCCTCTCACCCTCCACCCTGCATCTCTGGCCTGTACCCCAGCTCTTGTATGCATGGATAATCTTTTTTTTTTAAAAAAAAAATTGATCGTGGTAGAAAAATGCATACCTCAAAAACCCCAAGATCTCATCAGATACCTATGTCCTAGGGCAGGGTACCCCTACTTTGGCACCACTGAGATTTTGGCCCAAATGCTTCTTGGTGGGACCAGGGGGGGAGTGGCCCTATTCCTATGCATTGTAGGATGTTCAGCAGCATTCAGCCTCTAGCCACCAGGTGGCGGTAGCAACTCCCAGTATTGAGGACCAAGAATCTCTGGTCAATGCCAAATGTCCCCTGGGGGCGATATCACTTCTGGTTGAGAACTACTCTTTGAGATAAAACAGAAATATGATGTTGGCAACAGTTTAAGGCCTCTTCACCATCAGTTTGTATTTCAACTTTCTACTTTACATTTGGTTTATTCTTCACGATTCTTTCAACATCTCAGTGAGATTGAATGGTATCAAACTGTGCAGGATGTGCCAAAGAAACTATTTTAAGTGCATTGGCTGTAAAGAATCCAAGGGGGGGCATGTTTAATTGCTTATGAGTCGCAATTCAGAGTGAGTTCATACTATATGTGGCCACTGCTATTTTTTAAAATTAGATGTCACCTTCATCACCAGGAGATATTAGATTATCAATAAAATAGACTACACAATGGAAGAGCATATAATCAACACAACATCCCTTTATTTTCAAATTCATTTATAGACTATTTCCACCTTGATTTGCAGGAGCAGAACTTACAGAAATTCAAATCAAATAAAATGACTAATACTGAACCACTATGCTTCAAAAGCAGCACAAACGTCACCTTCTTTGTGCCCTATATTCTCCCTAAACTTCCTTGTATTTTATGATGAATTTCAGACTCACCAGACAAAACATGCAGCACAAACGAACAGCAACAACAATCACTGACCCAGCAGCTCTCCAGCTGCTGGAGAGCAGCACAGTTCTCAAAGGGCCCTCGTACATAGGGCAATCCCCCCCAATTTGGAGAAACCAGGCTTGTGACAGCCCAGGTGGTCCTCTCATTTCAGCTGTCTTGACAACCAATACCATTGCAACAGCAGAACAGGCTCTCAGTGATTCATCTGGAATGTATTTCAGTCTTTAAAATTCACAAAAATATATAGTAACTTAGATAAAATATATACTCTGCTATTTTATTTCTTGGACACGTGTTTTTATAAAATCCTATGAAAATATAAAATGACACAAACATCTAGCCAATTCAAGAATTCAAGCTATATAGATGATGCAATCCCTCTCATCATCTTCTAACTGGCCATCCTGAGACCTGATCACCACTGTGTAATGGCATGATCATCCCGAAGTTGGCTCACCAAACTGGCTGAAGGGGTTGAAGCCATTATCAGATCAGCAAAAACTGCCTCCTTTATATTCGAGTAAATCTATGGAAGGATGCCTCTATGGATTTGGTGACTTTCTCCGCTCAGCAATTCAATCATGGGCATATCCCTGATCCTCTTCCCCAACCTCAATGCCATGATGTTGAATTTTCTCCACTCTCACCACAAAAGCCATTTCCTATGGGATATCTAGGCTGACAGGGCTTTAGGAGTTTGTATTGAACTAGAGCATCTTCGCCAGACTAGTCTTAGGAAGTCTCTCCACCAATGAATGAAATGATAATATTTCCGTTTTATTAATGAAAATATTAAGGACTATTCAAGATCAAAGAGGTAGCACACAACAACAGATTTGCAAAAGCCTTGTGGGGTAAGGTGGAAAATATATTCCCATTTTAAGAATGAGAAAATGAGGCTGTGATTGTTTGTAAACACGGACAAAAATCACATACTAAATGGTAGGTGACGGAACTGAAGTCATACACTTACAAATTTTGGAAATGTCCCTAGTGCTATTTCTTCCATATCATACAGAATAAAAATGGAGAAGTATAGTGTCACTGCGAATAAAGATTGCTTAACTTCTCAGTGGGTTCATACAACTCGCTCATCACAAATCCATTGTTTGGATTTCCAAAGGGCAGTATCTGTGAAAGAATACATCAATTTTGTAGAAAAGGAATAACTGCATTCATGTAAGCTTAATTCCTGAGAGTTTGACAGGGTATGAAGGTCACGAGTAGACAGCTGTCAAAAACCTGGCGGATGATCACTGAATCAGTGGTGCGCACACATACACACACACACAATTATCATTTTCCTATTCTAGGAGAGAAAGGGAAAAATCAGGCAATATTTTACTTTGTAAAGAAAATTCTGAGACCAATTTCTAAATAAACTCATTGCTGCTCACTTTTAGAAGGTCTAAATATCTAAACCTCCAATAAACTATTTGATATCTAATACTGCCCTCCTCCATCAAAAGAGGATGAAACCCACAGGTAATGTGGACATGTCTATACATACAGTGCTCCAGCCTCCTGAGAAAATATATAGCACCTGTCTTCTGAGCAGGATTTCTATTTCCAGAACACAGAGATTCTTCCAATATCCAGACAACACTGTGGTTTATTTGCTTGAAGTTTAAATACACTCACTAATAATTTTCGAAAGTACTAAAAAATATGTTATCAAGGCATTTTGCTATGCTATTCATCAATGGTATATTCTGGAAATATCTGGAAAGCATTGAGTAAATTGTCAGTCTGGAACCCACAGAAAGGTTAGACTTGAGTCTTACACTTCTACCAAGCTCAGTCTCATTGAAGGTGGGTGTGAAGGGGAACCCCAACAGACTGGAAATTCAAGAATACAGGACTTGAGGAATTCCCTTTTGAGGAAACTCTTGAGAGGCATCCAGACCAAAAGTCTGTGTTGGGCATCCAGAGAAACCCTCACAGAGCAAATGTGTCAGAGGGTAGAAAAGAACAAGAAAGGGCCTCCCTGGTGGCACTGGCAGTTGAGCGCAGTGCTATGAAGCTGTCTGCAGCCTCTGCAGTGCCTGTTCGATCCCCACCAGCCGCAGAGCAACCCATAAGGCATGGCAGACCTCTCCTGTCTCCCCCTGCTCCCACTCACAGCAGTGTATTTCAATCTGCCTGTTCTGTTCCCCACTCTGTCTCTGGTGGATTCTTTCACCTCCCACACCTCTGGCCTACATCCCAGTTCTTGTATGCATAAATAAATAAATCTTTAAAAAAAACAAGACAATTTCCGTGTATCCACAAGTGGCAAAGAAGAGTCAAACAAAAGGTGGCTTGTATTTGGCAGTGGGACTTGGCTATGACACATGGGGACCAATGAACAGATGGGAATAAGGACAACTGGAAGATTCCAATGTATATAGATTTCTCAGGCCAAAGTTCCTTCCTGGGCCTTGGTAGTATATAACCTCCCAGCAGTTAGATTGCACCCTGAAGGAAAAGCAGGGACAGGGGCAGCAGGGGGTCGGGAAGCAAAAGGATTAGGTAAATAAACAAAAACATAAAAAATAAAGTTCTTTCACCACTCCAGCATACCTGAATACATGGGCTTGAATTTTGATCTGCTACACCAGTTCCATTGAAAAACAGACTCGTTTGGTACAAGCGGGCTGCAAAGATGCAAAATAATCAGGTACACATACATTCCCGTCCCTATTTCTAACCCCAGAAACAAGGTGTCTAGGGCTCCTGGATCCAATTCTAATGTATGTGGAGGCCTTCTCACAACAATAAGAATTTCCTTGACACCAGCGTGGTAGTGTCTCAATTCTTGAGGATTCAGCTCAATTCTCATACTATCTACCCAAGGATGCATTAGATTCCACAGGGTAAGGACAGTTTCCCAAGACCACCCTCCATTTGAGACTTCAGTGCCAACCCAGGTTCCGGGAATATCCTCCTCAGGCTTGACTAATTTGCTAGAGCACTTCACAGAACTCAGGAAACCCGTGTACTCACAGAACACCCATTTATCACAAGAGATGTAACTCAGGAACAGCCAAAATGAAGATAGGTACAGGGCAAGGCAGGGCAGAAAGGCAAGGCCGCCACACCTCTCCAGATGCACCACTTTTGGGAGGATCTCTTTTGGGGGGTTTTCTGGGGCCTTCCTCAGAAGAAATTTAATTATGGCTGTTTTATTTCATTAGCTATTGAATTCAAGCTCTAGCCCCACTCCTCTCCCAGAAGGTCTGAGGGAGTTCCACCCTTCATTCACCTTGGTTTCCATGACGACCAGCCCCCTCAGGCATTTTCTAGATGTTACCTTCATTGCCATAACAAGAGACAACTTTAACCTCCACACTTAGGAAATTCCAAGGCTTTTAAAGCTGTGAACTAGGAACTGTGAACAATGAAGACCTTGTGAATATGAGAAATATTTGTTATGAATGACCAAAATTCTTATTTCTTAGAAATGAAGTATTACAGTATTTTCAGGTAGGCATCAAAATAGGGAAATTTAAGGATAAAATATTTAAGAATAATTTTGAAAGTTAAGAATTTTCTAGTTATTTGTGAATATTAATAGTGCCAAAGCATGCATAATTAATTCATAGTCTCCATCTCTAAAATTGTTTTAGCCTAATCTTGAAGAGATGCACTGTACTTTGTTTCCCATTCACAGATCCAAATTTTCGTAAGGAATTGTTGTGCCCAGCATCGACCAGTGCAGCCCCCAAGGACACACAGACAACCGCTGTAAGAGCACAAAGGAGTTTATTACGGGCTCCAGACCGGGCCCTCGACACGCACCGATGTAACGGTGGAGGTCGGGAGCCCTGAACAAAGGAGACAGGGATCTTATATAGGGATACAAGTAGACTTCTAAAAATTAAATCATGTTGGGGCCTCCCCGGTGGCGCAGCGGTTGAGCGCTGGGTTGTGAGGCTGCCCGCAGCCTCTGCAGCGCCAGTTCGATCCCCGGCTGCTCCCCGGCCGACGGAGGAGGGTCCCACATGGCGCGCAGACCTCTCCTGCCGCCCGCTGCTCCCCTCAGCAGTGTACCTCGGTCCTTCTGCCTGCTCTGCTCCCCGCTCTGGCTCTGGTGAATTCTCTCACCCTCCCGCGCTTCTGACTGTACCCAGTGCTTGTATAAATAAATAAATAAATCTTTAAAAAAAAATAATAAAAATAAAAAAAAAAATTAAATCATGTTGGCAGTCATTCATTAGTTACATAGGTGTATCATTCATTGATTACACAGGTGCATTTCTTAATAATGATGGGTACACAGTTATTTTATGGCTAGTTTGACCCCATCAGTGGCCTGCATTGCTCAGTTCTATTTTATGGCCAATTAGACCCATTACTGGGCTCCACTGTGGCTGGCCATCAGAGATAAGACCAGAGTGGGGTGGGGGTCATAAACCCTCTTTGGAATGCAGGCTAATTAGTCTTGAGTAAGCAAAACTTGAAATACCAAGATGGCGGTTATACACAAGATGGAGGAATAGTGGCTAAGTCTCACAGAATGACAATTTTGCAGTAGTGTGAAGAGCTTAGCAGTTACAATATCAGAAAACAATGTTATTAACAAAGTTTTTGACAGTGATGAGTAACTGAAAGACTGATTTAGGTAGGCCTTCATTCCAATTTGGAATAAGGTTTACTACTGATGGAGGCATCACAAGACCAGAAACTGGAGGTGGGGATAGAGGTGATTAAATGGAAAACCAGCTATAGGAAAACCTTTGGACATAGGATCTTCTTAGGTGGCACTGACTGGTGTAGAAAGTATCAGAGGCACAGACCAGCAGTGGGGAGATGGAGAGCCATTAGAGAATCACCAATCCTTACAAATCAATCCCATCACACCCTAGAAATCATTGATTTAAAAATAGATAACAATTACAAAACCAAATCAATCCCTCTCTCCTCCAAAAGAACAATCTATTAGAACAACTCTTGCCCTGGCAAAAACAAATTCCAGCTCTCCTCCCAAGACTGCCCTCCTGTGTCTATGCAGGTGTCGTTCTTTTTTCTTTCTCCTTTTTTTAATAAACCTGTCCTTCTAAAATGTAACTTTCACCTGCCTGTGTCTGTGCAAATATCTCCCGGGTAAACTCACTGTGCATTGCTGAAAGGGGAACTCTGCCAAGCTTTTTTTCAGATTTAACCCAAGAACCCCACTCACTGAACCCAACATCTCATCAAAATGACATCAAATATAGCCATATTCCAGGCATTGAATTACTTCGTTGACCTCCATTCTATACCTGCTACCTTCTTAATTCACGTCCATAGAACTGTGCTTCTTTCCACTGGAGTAATTATTCAAGGAAGGCCTACACCCTACACTAGGCTGTAATTCTGTTAAAGCAAGGATCCTGCCTAGTTTTACTTACTGGTAACTCCAAGTCTAACATAGTTAATATTTGCTAAATGAGTTGTGGAATGAAGTCCTACTCCCAGATGACACAGAAGACAAACCCATGCCACCAGTTTTTAAGAACCAGTTTAATGCAGGGTCACCTGGCAGGAGACTGGAGGTCAGCCTCTCAAATCAGTCTCCCTGCAGATAGGCCTTTGGGCATTATTTATGGGGTTGAATAACAAGTATAGAAAATTCAAGATGGTAGCATCTGACCTTGGTTGCTTTCTACTAAATCATTGTGTAACTTGAATTTGGATCACAAACTGCAACAGACTAAGCACCCCTTGCTTCTTAATGTCTATCTAACTGTGAGTCAGGTATCTTAGTTCCATCTTCCATGATTATTTTCAGTCCAGACAATGTCTCAAGGATAGTGAAGACTCTTCTAGACCTGCACTTCGAAACACAATTTTTCAATTTATGAAAGATTGATTTATTTTCTCCACATTTAAAATAGGTAGGGGTGTTTTTCTCTGATTGTTGCAAGCCCACCCTACAGTTCTTGCAGGATAAGCAGAAGTAGGAAAAGACTAGTGCCCATCACGGTTTCGCATTTATTAAATGTTCCTTTTAGCAGTTTGCTTTTAACTACAGTCCTGTTAGTGGGCAGAGTGAGAGGCACTTGAGGACCCTGATCTGCCTGCTCTAAATGGGTTCTGCCATCAGCTGCATAAAAACAAAATATAGACCATCAAGAGAAAACAACTTTAATACAATTAGTGTGCAATAGAGCAAAGTGAAAGAAGGAATATAGTTAAAATAATTTCCAAATGAAGCACCCAAAGTTACCCATCCATCCCCTCGTGGGTAAATGTCCAACCAAACAGGGTTGGCCCAAAGCAGGGCCGCTGAGGCCCCAAAGCCTGCCACAGTCTAAGGTAACTTTTGGTGGGGAATCATAGGAAAGGGGCAGAAAAGGCCAGGCAAGTCTGTCAGGGAAAAAACAAAATCAAAATCCAACCCCAGATAAAGGCTGCCATTGTCAGCCTCCTCACGGGATTCTCACCCACGTCTCTGTCTCTGTCTCTGGCAAGTATCTCCTACTACCTTCCCCAAGTGCCTGGTACAAGTCCACGGGCTAGAAGCAAGCATGGTCTCTCCATATATCTCTCTGTCCATGTGCCTCCTGCAAGTCTACTTGATCTCTTTCTTTGCTCCCCCCACTCTTTACTAACTTCTCCTGCCTGCTCAGCTCCACCCTTTCTTAGGGTGGGGCAGGGAACCCGGAATCTCTCCTTTCTATGGTTATCACACTGTTAGAGTAACTCTCAAGATTACTCCATTTCTTTCCCCATCTGGGGCTCTTTTGTTCCTGCAGAAGAATAGATGGAATGATACCAAACCTATTCCACAAATCTTTTGTTTTTCTAACTCACTGTCTTTGCTCTGGGCCAGGAATAACCAGAATAAGATGAGTCCCAGTCAATTCCAGTTATACCTTTCTGGAAGCATTCTCATCTCTGATTGCTCTGAGATATCTTATTAATATAGCCCCATGGGTGATGGGACCCTGATAAAATTCTGAACTAATGGTCATCTCCAAGTGGTGCAGCAGGGTACCACTCTCCAGCTTGTCTTAGAAGCAGAAACAGTTCCCCCAGGGTGCAGACTGATATGCAAAATTACTCCTGTCTATCTGGCTAATGAGGTAAGAATAGATCCAGCCATACTGATTTACCATAACTGCCTTATGCTACCATAGTGAAGTCCTTATAACTGTGCAGCGGAAGAGGCTGTAGCAGCATCATGCAATATTAAAAACAATTGCTTGAAAAATGAGAAACATGTAACAATATCCAGAATATCCCAGGACACATATATTTGATTCCCTATATATATAGTAATAACATGCAACTACCAGAAGACCTGAATTGACTTGGTCAGTTTCAGCATAAAACAAAATAAAGCAAAAACAAAAAATCTAATTTGGCTCTTTTGTTTTTCCTACTAAATTGCCTGAATGCACCAGATGCTTAGGTGTCATATGAAAATGCATATTCTAAAATGTTTGCAATTACATTCTATACACCACATAGAAGTTTGTTCTTTTTTTTTTATGGAGTTGTCTCAGCTGTTTACTGAAATGACCAAAATGAGGGTATTATATAAATGAATATGTATGTATATGCCCGCCTATGTCAATTTCTATATTTATGTCTCTCTATTTGTGTTTACATATAATCTCCCCTCAAAAGATTTGTAATGTAATTACTAGCCCCAAGCCTTCCTCCATTTACCTCCAGGCTGCTAAAACTTCCATCAGGGATTTTTAAGATCCCTGTGGGGGCCATTTAGGGAGCATAACTGTGGTCTTCTAAGCAGCTCACTTCCTTGCTGTCTTGCAACTTCAGCCTGAGCAGAGCAAAGCTTTGAAAGGCAGCTGGGCGACACCATCTTCATTCCAAGTGTTAATTTGATATCTGCATAATTTAATCTCCTCATTCTAAATACCAAACCCTGTTTTCAGAAGCTAATTGGTTTTCTTTCCTTTTTGTTTTATTTTTTTAATTTAGATATATTAACAGATTTTGTTTGCATTTTTTCTGTTTTGGAGAGATCCACATTTCAATTATAATTATTTGGGCTCACCATGGGATTTATATATTTTAAAGATTGCATTAATTAGGTCTCAAGCAAAAAGTAAATTTTATTCCTCATCAAGAGTATTATCAGCAAGCATATCCAAATGACTTTGAGACAGTTTGGGGGCATTAGCAATTCA